GTTCTTTAGCTATTTTGTAAAAGTTTGTCTGTCTGTTAACGTTTTCCTCCTTTTATTTTTAAAATGAAAATTAAAAAAAGAAATGCATTCCTTCCCTTGAGAATGAGCGAAGGAGCTCACTCTGGAAGAGATGATTACAACAGCATTTTTCCAAGAATAACAAGGAAGGAATACAGCAAGTCCAGCCAGGAAAAAATAACAGAGAGTTCTGATTCTTTTTAAAAATGTTTTCTTTCTGTTTTTTCTAGTTTTCTTTTACAGTGAATACCTTACCACCAGGAAGACCATGCCTGGGTAGTCCAGAGGAGTCCAGAGCCAGGCCATGCCCTGGCATTTCTGTGGGCACAATCCTTGGCATTCTCACATTTTTTCAAACCAAGTCATGGAATTTTGATTCTGTTGACATATCTGAGAGGAGAATATCCCCAACCCCAAAGAAAGAGAAGATGAAAAAGCCCAATTGCCTCATGAAGTGTCTGGTCTGTGGGATGAAGGTTACAGTGACATGAATCAGAGGGGAAATGGCTCCATTCATCATTTGCTAGTAAGAGAATTCATACTTGGGAAGTCACCCTTATTGTATTAGATGTTATCTTGTACAGGGACAGTTAGAAATTTGTCAGCAGTATTGCTATTGCTGGAAGGACAATTTGATAAAGAGTTTTCTTCATAAATCCAATAAACTATCACTCCAACCTTCCCAAAGCTGGAAACCAGCTTTGATATCAGTGCCTTATGCAACCAAACATGAAAACTCTTTCCCGAGGTCCCCAGTGGAGATCTTGCTGCATTCTACTCTCACCAGTTTCTGTGGCAGCAAGTCTGGGCAGGTGTGGAGGGATAGCACCCTGAACAAATAGAGCTGCAGGACCAGGCAGGCCAAGCAGGTAGCAAATGTATGCATAGCAAAGTAGGGCGAACACATCCAGCATGGAGCTTCAGAGAAAATCAGGCTTGGATACGTGACTTGTGGTGCAGTTAAGACCTGGCTAATTTATCTGACCTGGCGCTGATGGCAATCTCCCCTGTGGTCCATTCTTGTTTCTGAGCCTGTAGGGCTTTATCATTTCTTGATTTTCAAACTAACTCCTGCTTCACTTGGTTATCTATTACACCACTCACTGCTTGGACCCCATAATGAACACGTCACAAGGAGTTCTACAGAAGGGGCAAGGTGCCTGTTTACACCCACAGAGACGGGATTACCTTGAAAAGAAAACGGCGGTGAGTCTCTGTCTGTGTATATAGTCTGCTGGCCACACTGGAGCTCCAGTGGCAGCTCAGGCCACATCGCCCAGAACTGTCCCAAGGCGTCCATCACACTGAGGCTGAGACCCGGGCGCCTGACTGCAGCCTGCACGGTGGCAGGGATCTGAACCCGGGCTGACCTTCCCGCCTCAT